AAGGCAGTCATCTTTTACAGAGATATTAGAAGATTTTCGTAATACTCTGTGAAACAGATTGCTAATTGTCATTTACTAGGTAATAATTTTATATACAAATTATATCATTTTGATCGATTCTATATGTTTATTGTTAAAAATAATATCAGTTTACAAGAAGACGTTGATTGGTTGTGTGTCTTGCTGTCTTTCATAAACAGAAGTTGATAACTTAAATTGACTTTAGGTTGTAACATGTTAATTGTCACACAGTGTATGATGAAATAGGGGGCAGTTACAGCTAAAAGTAAACGTATGCAGGAACTGGGTCCTATTTCAGTTCTAAATGAACAGAATTGTAACATGAACAAAGTCTGATATTCTTAAAAAATACAGCTCCATGAAAGTTTCCAGTGTTGATGGGGAAGGAGGTGACGGTGGTGGGGGGTGGGGGGAGATTTTAATGTAGCGCACTACTACTAGGGCCAAGTATTTGCAGATTATCATTGTGAAGACGTTCCCAAACCCTGAGTCAGACGTGTGAAATTTTGTAAAGGGTGTAATAATACGAACCCACGAAAAGAGAACTCCATTGTAAGCATGGTTGATGATATGATAATATTGATATTATATTGAAATGAATTTTAGATCTTTTTCAATCTCTTTGGTGATGTCAAATAATGTATGTTTTAGATTTAACATGGCACTATATTTGGAATTCAGACAGATTGCAACATAAATTTATATCATATTTGCATTTGAATTATCTAAATCTTTAGTTTTGTGTCATATTCAAAGATATTTATGTTTGGATCAACTGGAAAGTTTGCATACAATTCTTGGCCTCTAAATTTATTTATAATAAAAATAGTATTAATAACTAAGTAAAGATTGTCAAAGCTTTGCATTGTATTCAAAATTTGATGGGAATGTAGAGAGAGATCAAATAGGTAAATACTTGACTTTGTTTTATTCAAAATTATCTATCCTTTGTCTGTTAGACTGCTTATCTATTAGGATAAAAATATCTAAATAAAGATTATATTCTATATTTGAATTGAATTGTTGGATAAAGACAATTAAATGAGTAAATATTGTATATTCATTATGTATTGTTATGCTAAATATATATTTTAATCTTTAGATAAATAAATATCCAATTCGTTTATTTTGCTAGCTGATAATTACCTTTGACAATTACTGGCGAAAGCAACTTTGTAAAAGTAACATACTAATATCGTTAAAATAAATTCTTTCACCCTTTTTTTCAAACTGTATTTCAGTTTCTGCCACCCACATAGAAAACATCTGTCAATGAATAAGTTTATATAATCCGTAAATAAAATGCCGAACGTTTATAATAAAAACAAACTCTCGATGCCCACCATTGTCCCTTTTTTCATATTCAAGATGTTATGCATCACATTTTATTAAGTAGCGCTCGATTGATTAAAATGTTATCATTCTCTTTTTATTCACACTACTGATCGAGTCTAAACACTTCAAGTCTTTCAAATAATACTAAGGAAACACGTCGGCCTGGATATAGATTTATTAAAAGGAATGAGAACCAGAGATTTGAAGGAGACAAGTACGTGCATTACATATTGATAAATCTGCAAGTGTGGTGTTTAATTGATGCTATTAATAAAAGGGATAGACGATTAATTATTTAATAGAGGATATTTCGTTATTTTCACTTAATTATCATTCATTTTACCAATTATTGCTCACAGGAAATGCATCAGTTATTGACACTTAAATGAAGAATGAAGGCTTGGAATAAGTGCATTTATTGTACAAATGGAGAGGCATAAATCATGTACTTTTACAGGGAGAAAATAATCAGAATTGTTATTTTTATACATCCTCATCCCCACATTTTCCGAAACTTTGTTAACTCAATAGAGGTTACGTTTTTAACAAATCTTTTTTTTTCAAATTTGGTGTGAAATATTGGAGTCGCGAAAGGATAAAGCCTATTAGTATTCATTATATTCAGCATGTCCGCGACCTTCCGTTCCGGAGTTACCCCCGCCCTCACCTCTTTTCCGAGGTCCTACAGTCAGTTTTAGCAGATTTTGTGTCAAATTTGGTATGATGCATTATGGCATAAGAGGATGAAACCTGTCGATATTCAGTGTTCTTTTTTTTAAAGGATTTCGTTTCAAACATATTATTGGTGTGAAGCATTGGAGTCATTAGAGGATGAACCCTGTCGATATTAAGCGTTTAACGACCTTCCGTCCTGAAATTACCCATAAATCCTTCTTAGAATTATATGAATGCAGATTTTAGTCCATTGTCTTGGAAGTCTGCTTGTCGTCAGTAATTTACCCTTCAAAAAGAAAAAGGAAGCTCTAGCAGTGGCGCAACTGAGAAATGTATACATAGAACACCGGGGTTTTAATTACATAATATGACAGGTCAATAAATGATAGAAACAATTAAATTGTCCCGTTTCACAATAAGTTTCTGGTTTGGGTACATACTGAGAAGCAAATACATATAAAATATTATGTCGGGTGGTCGCTTTCGGTGGTGTATTTAAACTCTGACTATATTTTTTTTAAATCACTGACCCAAGAGTCATTTAGTAATAATTCGGTGTATCAGCAAGTAAAGGAACATAGTATGTGCTCTTAATAATAACAATTTCACATTGATATTGTCTGTAGGGAATTGTAAATGAAATGAAATGGGTTTCACATCTAATATTTCTCGAACAACAGGGCCAGTAAGACCCACAAACGTGAAGTTGTTTTGGGTTTTTATTTACCTGTACACAAACGAGTACATGAGTGACTCTTGAGTTTTCGTACAATCCGATGGACTGGTCACATTTTCTTACAAAGGTCGTCCACCATGCACTACTCATATAGTGGAATGGGGTGGGGGCAAGCTGGAAAAATCCGAGGAACTTTCTCTGTTAACTCTACTGGATTAGCGCCATAATTACCAAGGTACTGCTTCAGAGTAATGTTTCGACAAAATAAGTAGAGTTTTATTGCACAACTAGACATTCACATCGGCGTGTTAATTTACAAAATAAAACGAGATTAACAAAATCGTTTAATCGTGAAGAATTGTAGTGTGATTTCATTATAGTGATGTGATTTAAAATTGTTCCTTATGTTGTACCCGTCCAACGAATGGTGGTGGCAGTTTGTAAACGATGTAACTGCGCTAGACTAAACATGTCGTATCCTTTTTAAGTCAATGATCCACGGTGTCTCTGTTAGTATGGAAATGAAATGATATGAAATGAGGGTTAATGTCCTAAAGCCCTGATAGTAGGAACTCGAAATAAGGAGTATGCCGTTGCCCCGTTGTCAGGGCAAAATACTACCCATAGCACACTGTGAGCGCGAAAAGGTAAGACGTTTATCCACATTTCCTTTTTTTAATTTAATAAAAACATGTGAATATCCCAATGCATTGTTTACTTTTCGTATATTTGCCATTAAAATACTCCAGGTATATTCTAACGAACACCAACATTAGAAAATATTGATAATTTACTTAGCAATAATTTAATTAAGAAAAATACCTAAACATTGATCAATCTCCAATGTCTCGGTTTAGCGTATGTGTGTACATTATCCTTAAGAAACTTCGAGCCAGACATAATTACCGATTATTGAAATACCATTGTACTATAAGAGAGATATGCCAACAAAAGTGTATCATTCTTTTTTATTTCCAGTATGACTCATTGGAATTGAAATGAAATGGAGTTTAACGTCCTACTGTCCTGCTCCGGTTGGGCTAATGAAAACGGGTCACATTGGAAATGGGGAAAATCTGAAAATTAAAGCAATCTGGTTTATGAACTAATGGTTAGAATTTAATAAAGCAAAAAAATCCGAGTGATTAAAACTATGTATGAGAAATTCATATCGTATATACGATTGCTTCTCCGGGGATACCCCCGCCTTAATTGTCTTTCTATGAGAAGTGTTAAATATATCTTTTTGTCAAAGTGCAGCCCCTTTACCGCCAGGTAATCGTGGTAACGTCCAACCAGTGGAGACATTGACGTAAAATTTTAATTGGATATATGATTCATTTGAAAAAAGGTTATTATTTTTTATCTACTATAATATTTTAGTTATAGGCTATAGTTTACAGTCGCAGGGAAATTAATAAACCGATTCGTTTCTTCAATAGGTGTTTGTCGCTTTCATCTTCCACTGCGATATTTGAACAAATTATATGCACCCTCAGGCTAACCAATTATTTCTTATTAATTCCTTTTCGTCAAATAAAAGCAGACAGTGTAAGTACAAAAGATGATTTGGTCTCGGAGTAAATTTCACAACAGAACTACAAAGATACGTGGAAACGTCTAAAGCGCCTACAATAACAATTCATATGTTTATAAATAATCACAATTTCATCCATCAGCCATTTTGCTGTGCCTTAAAAGAAGACGACAAGGTAAATCTCGAACTCAATCAAAGTCTGTGAAACGTCCAGGTGTCATTTTAACAGATAATGGAATCTGAGTTTTGATTGGTCAATAATTACCGATATTCTACATTATGATAACCAATCAAACAACACAAACTGAATTGAAATAACTTGGAACTATTTTCTTTAAAATTATCGTAAAAACGAGTTGTTCATTATCGCCATTGATTAACACTTTTGATACACCTCTTCTAATCTTAAAACATATAACTTGTATCGTCTGATTGATTTCCCGCGCATTTAACTTAGCAGGAAACAATGGGAACCAAGTCGTCTGCTTCACATACTCTCCAACCCTTAATAACTCTTCAAATTACTTCAATCGGACGTTAATTGATTAAAATAATAAAAATGTGCTAAATACTGCCATTTTGTAAAAATGTCTCTTAAACGATTTACGTTAATGTACTAAAACAATCAAGAGTATAAAAGCATGTGCAATGATTTCAATTCCATATCTAAACAGATTTAATTCACCGTGGAAACACCTTAATTCTTGAAAGTAAGCGGATCATTTACCGTTATGTCTTTTTCTATAGAAAACCAGTCGTGCCAATCTAGCACAGAAAATCAAAGTTTTGGAATTCAGAGAAAATTGGAAACTTCAGAAAATACAAAAAGTGGATTTTTGTCCATTGATGATATTTTAAAAGACGATTCAAACGGCGCGAAAGGCGACATCAACCAGACCACAAACGATGAAACTGTCGTTTGTCATGAGGTAATTTTATGCATTTTCTTTTTTTCTGATTTATTTCACGTTCAGATTTAATAGAGAAAATATGAAAAATTCTTCTTCTTGGGATTTACACCCGCTTTCACCTAAGATGATATCGCAGACAAGCATGTGAAAATTTAAGGCCTACATTTTTTAAAAACAGATGATGTAGTGCGACGAGAATATTCTTAGTTTTCATCTATGAGAGTAAATTTAAAGATTATGCCTATAATTATGTTTAATACTTTACGAGTCTCAATCAATTAAATAAGTAAAATTATACTCATTGTCTATTTCATTGAATTCTATATGTTATCGTCTTTAGCTGGATGTCAATCTGTCTTCGTTCCAAATTTTGGTTCATAGTTAAAATAAATGTTGAGCTATGTTCGTTTGCGGATTCCTGTGTTGACAAAAAACGCTAAAAATGCATGAATCCACTATTTGTAAACAATCCACCTTGGTTTTATTTTTAATTTAAAATCAAATCTATATTCTATTTTGGTCTAAATTGAAGAGGTTGAGATTTGTTAAAAATGAATAAGTCCATGCTGAGTTGTTGATGAATAACATGAAACAGAAAGCAGCACGTTTCGTGATAATGCTTATGAACTTTCCGATATAAATAAAAGTGAAATATAATATTCTTCGGGGTGTTTGAGCTTGTAACCTGAACCGGTGGCATATGATAAAAAAGCGGGAAAATTCAATTGCATTATCTTTATTCAGAATGAAAACGAGGAACAAATAACACCAAAGCAGATTTGTGATACTCAAGTATCATCACCATTTGTACTCCGTCCAATTCCAAGATTTTGTTATCCTGTTTCACCCTGGACCCCCGAGTCTCCTGCTTGGCTTTACCAGTCGCTTTATCATAGACATCTGGTACTTGAAGGTATGTTCACAAAAAAATAATCAATAAGTGCTTTGTATGTTATTATTGAGAATGAATAATAATAATTATATTCATAGAAATGGATAACGACTCATTAGATTTGAAGATAGGATGCAAGATTAAACATGAACGGACAGCTCTTTATCAAAATCTTACATAATGCATCTTTCATTATAACTACATAATTTGTAAACATGTTATATCAGGTAGGAATTACGGTATTTTAAAATGAAACAACTCGTTTATTTCTATAAAATATAAAAGTGTGGATTTTACTGTATTTTACGCCCTGTTTTGTTGTGCGAATTATAAGAATGTCTTCATTTAGAATGTTAGGTACAGGTAAAGTCAGTGATGAGATATAACTGATTTTGTTTTCAATAGCCAACAGTTTAAGCCAAGAACGAAATAGGCTAATTTGTATATTTAAAAACAAAAGCTAATTTGCATATAAGCTAATTGACATTTTAAACATATAATGTTCAATTTGGGATCTCAATCTTGGAGATGGTCAACTGTTTACAATCTGAAATGGCTGAGTTTTCTGTGGAATGTTTTGTGTTGGTGAGATTTTTCAATGGGTATTAGGGAAACTCCTATCGGAATCCAGATTTTTTCGATCTCCACATTTACATTTTGACTTCGGAACGCGATACAGGACATAGTTCCGCGGAAAATATTTTGCTGCTTGGTGGGATTGGTAATTGGGGCCCTATCACAATTCGGAATGTGTCGATCGCAATTTTACAAGGTATCTCTTTTTAACTCTTGACGTTCAAAACTAGCACACAAAACAAGTGTTCTGGGCTAGAATGAATTGTTCATATAGAAGAAATTGTTTGGCGGGGATTTTTGGCATTGGTTTTCAAACTACAGGATACAAATTTGCGGATGGGTGGTGTCAAAGGGATATGTTTTATATCGAATTAACTTTTTTATTTGCAACAGCTCAGAAAAGTAGCACAGTCAGGAGACAGCGGCGTGTTAATATCGACAGAAAACCACGACAAGCTTATTCTAGTAAACAATTAGAACATCTTGAGATGGAGTTTAAGGTAAATGATAGTTATTTACTAAAACACATTAATAGGTATACCTTTTAAAATACATCTGCAGAGCCGACTTATATTTTATCTGTTTCGGGTGTTTTATGAATTTCCAGAACCACATGATTTTACTTACTATTTACTTAATACAGTCCCTATCCAATCTTTAATATTTCGGTGACAACTATTTAAAATATACCCATCAATATGCAATATCAACGTATATAAAGTGATTTATATTCAATTTTTTAAACAAATAAATTATAATAAATAAATAATGTTCGGCGAAATTGAGCGACAGTTGTTTACAACTGCTAAATCCATTCTACACGTATTTTAATCAATGTTTTATCGTTTGTGAGTCAGCCATTTCCAATAACGTGCGCATTGTCTTGTAGGATATGTTTTATTTGTCCATTACAAATGGCGCCAGAAACGATATAATACACAACTTGAGAACTGATTATAAAATGTTCATTCTGTCTTAAAGATCACAGGAAAAGCTTCATATTTTTTTTTTAAATAATGCAAGTAATTGTGTCAACATATCTTTTTCATAAGTATAACACGGTCCAGAATGTCAGCGTTACCTGTCACATTTATTTCAGTGTTAGCAATTTCCGTCGTTCCCCGTGAGTAGTCGTATCTTTTCGCCAATAAGCCAGCCGTGACGTATAGACTATAAAATATGAGCAGAAGGGCAAAAAATGTGTCACGATCTATTTATTTGCGAAAAGTCACGTAATTTTAGTCCTTCTGCTCATAGAAATATAGACTACAATATGAGCAGGAAGACTAAAATGACGTCACGGTTTGTTTATTGGCGGGAAGTTACGAATATTCACGGAGAACGGCGGAAATCGCTATCGTTGAAATTTACCTGTGGCAGGTAACATTGACATTCGGGATCTTGTTATACTTATGGAAAGGATATGTTGACAAAATTCCTTGCATTATTTAAACAATTTAGGAAGCTCTTCCGGTGACCTTTAAATATTGGATATTAGGATCCCAGATTTTCACGATAAGATTAGAACATCAATATTGATTTAAATGGACAAATATTGAATTCTAATTCGTGTTTTAAATTCAAATGTTATAGACAATATTGAGTTAGAGGTATAGCTCCTTTAAATGTTTTGCTGAGTGGGTTTTTCCTCATCTTTTTTTATATAACAGACTGATTGTTCATTTAAGATAATATATTCTGAAGACTGACTGATAATATGTATTTCTTGTTTTATTTATGTAACTGTAAATTGTCTGACTGATATTTTAAGATGTGTTATACTTCTTTAAGCAGGCTGACAGATATTTGAGTGTCAGTAAAAGAGTAGAGTTGTCTAAAACATTAGATCTAACAGAGACACAAATCAAGACGTGGTTTCAGAACAGAAGGTTTGCTTATAGATTTATTTCATATTTATACTATAGCATATAACAAAACAAAATGAGTTGATCCAACTGTCCAAATTTCATTGTGGCTCAGTACAAAGACGTTGGCAGATAAAGTTCCTCCTGAATTTCCAGGGAAGCCACGGTGGCTAAGTGAGTAAGACGCTGGTTCGCTAACCAGGATGGCGTGGGGTCGATCCTGGTGTTGACCGAGAAGGTTCATCGGAATTTTCCTCCGTGGTTTCCCCTTGTCAGTAGTGCAGGACGGAAGGCCTGACAAAGGACAGCGGTCTAGTCGTTGGGATGGGACGAAAAAAAAGAGGCCACGTGTACACATTGGCATGCACGTAAAAGATCCCTTGACAGTTGGGATCCGAAATAAGAGTAGGCCGTAGCGCTGTTGTCCGGACAAAATTTCCCTTATAGCATACTGTATGGCGTCGGCCCGTCTTCATTAGCCAAGTCGGTGCAGAAAAGTAGGACGTTAAACCCCATGCAATATTATTTTTTTGATTTTGTTATTTTATGTGATTTTGTTTGCTTTTTTATAGTATGATTTTCTTTATTGATATATAGTATGATTTTTTTAAATAGTGTTTTTTGTTTTTGTTAATAAATATAATGATTACCCGGTACAAGTTATTTAACTATTTGCATATTTTATATTACGAAATTTGATCAAATTGATTGAAGTTTCCAAAATTTCATTTTCTAGAACAAAATGGAAGAAGCAGATGTCAGCAAAGTTAAAAAGAGAAGGTCTGTTTCCTGGTCCGATCTGGGGTCCCATGGCGTCTCCTCGTTCATGTCACTTTAACCCTTATCACCACCCGCTCTCTTTAGACAGGAACTACTTTTCTTCTTATAAATGAAATAAAATGAGATCCCATTTGAAAGGAGTTATTACTATATGGTACTTGTCAAATAATACCCCACGATCATTTCCGACAATAAGTGTTTACTTATGTACTGTTAAATCAAATTCTCATTCTTCTGTGATTGTGTTCCAACCTTGGATAACATAGCTTTATAATTTCTATTATGATATTGTCAACATTATACCATCGTTAATAGTATTGTTTCCAGGGTGTTTTGTTTTGTTATTTATGGATGTACGTTGTTTGGGAAAAGTATATAAATTACTCCCCCTTGTAACATCGTTCTTCATTTATTTATTCAGACTTATATTATGTTTTCTAATATCTAATAATAATACCTTCTTTAAGAACTGACATCCTATTGGTCGGTAAAATAGGCCTTTACCAAAAAGAAGTATCAGAGAAATTAACAAAAAATGGCGGGAGATTTAAAGGCTTCTCGTCTTTTTAAAATTTTAGCCGCTGGGACGGACGTATATGTGGTAAAAGTCATGCCAGACGTTCAGATGGTGTCGCTAGACAGTGGAGGACCCTTGTAAAAAAAACCGACTCAGTTCTTTTGATTTTTATAATCAATAAGAAATTAATCATCACTTGGTTAAATTCAAATAAACGATTAAGATTGGTAGTATTATGTGCAATGTTTTGTTACTGTGGACTGGCTGCTGAATAATCACGGTGCTGGCTAGGCGACCATTTCATCCTAGTCACGTACAATTTGATGCCAAGTTGCATAGATGACGGGCCAATGATCCACAATCCATCGGCCTCCAAGCTCCTTCTTATGCTGCAAAAAGATTTTGTACCGTCACAACAGCTTTCGATATGAAGGGTAAACTTATTTTTTCTTGAGCACTTTATACCACCTCTATCATGAGGAGTTCATAGACTTTTGTTGTACCCTTACCACTATAGGTTGGGGAATTTGCGGATGGCCTTTGGCTTCGAGTGTGGCATAAACCCAATAAATTTTGGTTTCTCAAATCCAGGTCCCAACCGTCGCTCCTTTTAGTTATAAAGTATGCCTACTATTTCTAGAGCATCTGATACCACTTGTCGATCCCGGTGGCTAAGTGGGTAAGACGCTGGCTCGCTAGCCTGGCGGTCGGGTGATCGATCCCTGCATTGGCTGAGAAAGTTAATCCAGATTTTCCGTCGTGGTTCTCCCTTGACAGTGATGCAGGACGAAGGGCCTGACAAGGACAGCTGTCTAGTCGTTCGGATGGGACGAAAAACCGAGGTCCCGTGTACACATTGGCGTGCACGTAAAAGATCCCTTGACAGAGTAGGCCGTAGTGCAAAATTTCCCTCATAGCACACTGCATGGCGTATGCCCCTCTTTATTAGCCCAGTCGGAGCAGAACAGTAGGATGTTAAACCCCATTTCATTTCATTTCATTTCTGATACCACTTCTAGTTTCACAATTTTGCACAACTAGCAAATTACATTATACATACAGGGACAAAGGGTCAAATATCAATAATTAACCAAATCGTCATTTAAACATAATGCCCCCGTCAGACCGGGTTGGCGTCCTTACTGCGACGACCATAAATTGCATAAAGTCGCCGGCAAACGTAAATACAACGCGAGAAAATGTCCCAAAAAATTACAAACTTGAAAAAAGTCGCTTTCTCACAGCTTTCCAGGTATAATCGCAGAACCTTGGCGTTTGTTTTGAACATGCTCAAAACAAACGCCGTGATTCGGCGATCATTGGCGATCATGGAGACCACAGCACAATTTCTGGCGTTTCCACCGTGCTTTTACCACGCCTTTAGCAATCTTGACGCGCTCCCAGACCATTTTCCGTCGCCGTAGCGGCACAGCTAAGGACCCCACCCCTGTCTGACGGGGTTATTACATAACTCTATGTTATCGACAATATGGAATTGAAATACAACAAAACAGCCATTTGATTTTAAAAACAATTTAACAATTTAATAAGCCCATTCTGGAAATGAATCATCATTGAGCCAGTTTATTTTTGCATCTTTCCAACCCGGTTTTTCGTCATATTTTTTATTTTCCGCTCGTAACCAAGTCATCAATGGACGGAAGTACTCTATAAGAGGTTTAGCTGAGACTTCACGAGATCCTGTGAATTGTTCTAAGGCATCCTGCCATGGTACACTACTTCCTAATGCTAGCATCTCTCTGAAAACAACAAAACCATTTAATTAGATAATTGTTACATTACCATCGTTTGGTATTGCAATCAAAAAATAAGGGTATACATGTTGATGGGGCTAAACAAAAAAGAACTCATGGGTTGGAAATAAACCACACCGAATTTAAAGGAAAGCAAATTCTGCATAGAAACGCATATACATTCATCGAGTTCATACTAGTGCTGGCAAAATGTCACTCAAATAGTTTTGAAAATGGCTTGAATGATACAGCTAAGATTTCCATCATTGTCAGGGGACTAGCAATGAATGATAAGTACTTTTTTGCAAATTTCTTTCTTCTAATGCAATTTGTCCTTTTATTAATTCTTAATATAAAACACAAAAGAAGTCAGTGTTATTTAGCTCAATATGTTAGCTAAAAGGGCGTCAATGTGTGCATTTAGCATTGGTAAAACACTCTTCACAAATAGGTCTACATTCTTAGCTCCATGCACGGGTGACAAAGGTAGCCAACTAGAAATTTGATTTGCTTCAGCCCGAAAGTATTATAGGAGTTTGTTATGAAACTGTTGGAATGCGGTTGAGTGTCGATCGCCCAGCTATACAATAGTTATCAACTGAGTATTATCAAGGGTAGCTAACAGTAGCAGATGAAGGTGGCATGAAATTAATATACATGTAGATTTATTTGCACTTACTTTAATTTTGATCCGGCATCTTTTGATTTGTAAAAATCACATGTATGCAGCTCCCCCTGGTGACCAGATAAATCACATAATCTTTTATAAAATTGAAACTGTAATATATGGCTGAAGAAATAACTGAAAAAAAAAGATTAAATTGGGTAAATGCAAAAAACGGACTCATCTTTACGCGTTCTCCTTTAAGGCTAAATAGGTATTTTCTATGTAAGAAAGATAATGGGAATAAAATTCCACTAGTCTGATAATATTCGTTTTCTAAATTTTCACTATTAAAATATGGGTTCGCCGAAATTTACAAAGAGGATACTATGCAGTTGTTTACAGTCCAACAATAAAGGGTAGTATAAAGTTTTGTTTGCCACGATAACCAATAGCACGATATATTATCTTCGTAGTGAAGATTTCTATTTCACTATGAACCCCATTTTAAAATAGCTTTTAAAAATACCTACCTCATGTAAGGCGAATTGGCAGGAATGTGGAATTTAGCGGCAGGGTCAAAATCATTTTCAGATCTTGGTATAGGGGAGACAACTCCTTGATATTTTAGCCTGAAATACAAAAATAACTATTTTTATTGCCAAGAATAGAAGTCACAAAAAACAACAAATTAGTCGAATAGCAAGACGTGATATATTGAATCCCAGTAATCATAGAGAACAAATGTGGATTGGGAGTCGTATCAGTCAAATAGTCCTTTAGTTGTTAAAATAACTATAAATCTACTGAAAGCTGGGTAAGCCTAGCAATATAAATAGCTAAATTTTCGTTACCCGGGCGTTATTTTATATTTCTATAGTTAGCAGTAATTTGTAATAGATGATCAAGCAAAAGAATAAACTCTGAACAAACAAACATAGCCATACCTGAGTTGCCACCAATATTTATTATAGTTAGCTTCTTTGACGTCACCCCTGAAGACAGCCCATCGCCATTTGTCAACGAGGTAACCAAACGGTAAAAAGGCCAGTTTATTTAAAGCCATCTGTAATAACATATCAATGTCACTTTCTACAAAAAAACAAGCAAAATATTAAAATATATTCTAGGTTTTCTCATACATGTATATTTAAGTATATTTTTAATGTATGACTCGAAATGGCTTTTCGAGTGAATAAAGTTTCCGATAAATCTGTTGAAATTTTGTTAACACACCACACACACAATGGGCAAAGCTTAACCAAAAAGGGGTTTTCTATGCCACCTTTTTTGTATCACCATCTTTTAAACCAGTCTTAAATTGATTGTCTTTTTCTTTATTTTTAAAAACATTATATTGATTGAATGTGATTTTTTTCAAAAAAATAAACACAAACTGTGCATTGGTGAGCATGAGACTAGATCGCTAACCAGGAGATCCCATCTTGAATAATGGTGTTGGGATTTTTCGGCCAAATCTAGACTTTCGGAGCGGACAAAAAACCGAGTTCCACCCGTGGATACATTGGCGTGCAAGTAAAAGAATTCTTGACAGTTGGAATTCGATACATTAGCCCGACTAGTTCAGGAAAGTATGATGTTAAACCTCATTTCAATTATCCAAACCGACGATTCCAATTTTATATATTTACATATAGGTACATCTAACGTATATCGGGAATTTCTCTATTTGTTTGACTGCGGATGAATATGTATATTTCGTTTTTCGGCAACGCGAATTAACCGAAATCACTCAAAAGGCAAGTTCTCTGACAACTGGTCTACTTACTTTTTGATTCAGTACTATCTTGATTCAACAAACCAATTGTTTTTAGATGGGGTCTACTGGTGACAGAAAGCGCTATAGTGTCTCCAACAGCTTCATGAAAGGCACTGTTAGCTCCGTCCCGGAACACGCTAGGTTGATCTTCATACGCCATGTAATATTCTATATGACCCATTTCATGGTGAATTGTTTCTAGGTAATCTAAACTCACTTCAGCACACATCTTAATTCTGTTGAATATAAAAAAACAAAATTATTTTACACTCGATCCGACTATTGATGAAAACGTAAAAGTGTCATTCATGTTCATTCATGTGTACCGGTGCAGTTTCTCTAGAAAGGGTTACAGTTGCTAAACTTAACTTTGTGATCATTGTTATTTTGTGTTTGGTGGCGATCACTCTAGTTTCAATAACAATTGTGTATTGTTTCAACCTTAATACATTTAACTATGCCGTTAATTAATGTGCTATATTTACCACTGTGATTCATAACGTAGTCTTTCATTAGCTAGCACACTATGCTAACGAGGCAATCAGCAGTTAAAGAGAGAGAGAGAGAGAGAGAGAGAGATAGAGAGAGAGAGGTGGGGGGTAACGTCCACTCGACACAAACTAGGCAATTTCGGGGACTAACATATGGTTCGATTTTATTTAAATAATTAGCTTGCGCGTAGGGGTCTTTAGCAGTGGGAGAAGTCAGAAGAACCCGGGGAAAACCCACGAGGTTGGACAGGTGACCCTAATACTTGTCACCTAAAACCAAACCACGTCAGCTGACTCAATGACAGACCTTCTGATACAACACACACGTGCTAACCATTCGGCAATCCAACCCTCCCTCAGCAGTTAAAGCAAGAGTTGAAATGAGTTTCGCTTACTATTGTATGAGGAAATAAATAAGGTCGTCAACTCAATTCTACACATTTTAAGAATTCGGCCTTTTCATTGTGATGGTGGGTGGGTGCGCGTTGGATCAGATCTGTCATTGAGTCAAGTGGCGTGGTTTCGATTTCCTGCTTGTGCGTGACAAAGCGTAAGGTCGCCTGTCCAACCTCGTGGCTTTTCTCAGGATCTCCCAGTTACCTCCCACTGCTAAAGACCCCCTACGCACAAGCGAATTACTAAAATAAAAATGAACCATATTATGTTAATCCCGAAATGATCTAGTTTGTGTTAAGTGGACTTTAAACCCCATTTCCCCCTCTCTTTCTTTTCAATGTGCTGTGCTTGGTTTTAGTTCACAACCAATGGGCTATCGGTATTCTATTTTAGTTTAACTTTTCACTAATAAGGTTCCTAACCTAAGATCAACAGAGCAACGCTTTAGACGGCTAGGCAATTCACTTTACCTGAAATCTCCTCGTCGGTACAAATAAAACGCTGAGGCGTGGCACTGAACTTCTCGACCTTCAGGTTTCACCATCATTGAATTATTCCAGAATTTCTCCGTCATGTTATATAGTCCTATTGACGAGAAGAATTCTTCCGACAATCTAAATAGTCCTTTCACGTCATATTTTTTCTTCAGTTCAGCTTCGGCCTGTGCGATATAATCGGCGGAAGAATATGGTTTAAGTATGTCGTATATTCCGGTCCATTGTTGGGCCCACATGTTTCCTATTAAAACAAAAACAAGATAGTTCAGAAAATAATTTAAATGATACAATTTATAGAACTGGATAAGTTAAAATAAACTTAATCAGACATACAAATAAATAATTCTCGGGTCATCGGTAAAATTGTTTCATGTAAGGCTTTGTGTATACCTATGGTTTTGTTTTAGAAAATTAGCTTATTAATATGGGGTTTAAGGAGTCGCTCTGTCAATGGGCGATTTTTAAAAATGACATTTAAGGTGGTAAAGTTTGGCAGATTTATTATACAACAACATACCAAGTATATGAGCCGGTATTGCTCCGTCACTGCCAACAACTTTCTCTCCGTAATAGGAGCGCAGTTTATTTCTGACGTAAGCATGTAGTTCCTGATACAATGGTTGGACTTCTTGCCAAATTTTCTCTGCCGATGCTTCCAGATCTGGTGTCTTGTCAAATAACGAATCCCGCCAAAATTCGCCGAAGTCATTGTAGCCTGTAAAGGAAAAAAATAATTTGTACTCAACTTTTAAACACGATAAAACTCGAAGAATGGTGTTTTACACCACAGGGATGTTTGCGACGGGGGTGGGGGTGGAGGGTATTACTAACATTGAACACTCGATCAAACTTGTATGTTTTGATCTTCGGTGTCGGGATCAAATAATTGAACCCTACATTTAGTTTCGTCATTATTTAAAGTAAATATCCCGTTTCAATATAAATGTTATTTTTGATTATATAACTTGTGTTATATGAATACATACCATGTTCCTTGGCACCTTCATTTTTCAATTCAACGAAATTTGTGTAGTGTGGCTTGATTGATGATGTGACGTCACGCCAGCCTTTCCAGGCTTCGAGTAGCTGTTTTGGTTTTCGGCTCTTTGACATTATATCCTGGATATCTGGTTCCAGTGGAAGACATTTTTCATCCTTCATACACACTTTCCCCGTGTTGTATGTAGCCAACATTTCGTTGCTTGTATCAGAAGTTTCTCTATTAGAAAAAAATAATTTTTTAAAAAATTTAATAATACACGGTTGCTTTAATTCTGATATATGAGTAACGATTATAAGCTATCGTGGTCCTGGTTTTAAGCATATTTCTATCGTATGTTGCTAGCCTGATTACTAACCGGAAGTAAAGAAAGGGTCCCTAGTCAATATTTCTCTTTACTTGACAACTAACCGTTTTTTTAGGACTTCGAATTTTGTCTAATGGTTTGGATTGTTCGTACTTGGTTTTATTTTATTTAACACAATAATAATATTTTACACTCTCAATTTTGACCCCCCCCCCCCTCCTCTCTCTCTCTCTCTCTCTCTCTCTCTCTCTTTATTGGTAGCTGTGTGTTTAATTAAGATAATATGATAAACTCTCATATCTCTCGTTGACAATGTAAATATTATGTTCACAATCAACACCCCCCCCCCCCCCGTGTATCCCAGTGCCTTATTGTCATAAACACAGTATTAACGTGTTATTTATTATACCTTACCTCACAACATTAATGTCTTCTGGATTGGCAGATTTCAACAATAATCTCAATTGTCGTCTGTTTATGTTATCTAAGTTTGCCATGTTGAATTTCGTGCCTTGTGCCTCCATAGCAGCATGCCATTTGGACGCTTGGACTTGTCCAAGTGATAACTGAAACAAATAAAACAAATGATTTTCTAAAACTCGACTACGTCAAACAACTTGTTGTTGTGGGGATTGCTGGATATTATTTCATCTAAAGTGCATTTTTTCCAGGTTTCTGGGCTGTATCATTTTTTGTTCTCAGTCAGTTTGCTACGATTTACTATAGTTTTAAAAACGAAGGAAGTACATATACTGCAACGAATGTTTATCGTATACCGTCTAAATCACAATGTGAAATATATGAAATGTACAAATTTATTACGAAAATTTCAGGCAAACTTTACGGATTCTACTGCTATGAAGACCATCCGAATCATTTTGGTCATGACAATAAAACAAAATCAATTCATTAACAAAATGCTTCACTACTGAATCTGTCTTTACCTTCTCTTCATTTTCGTGTGTAATGTTAGTTGCAAAATTCCACTGTAGAAGACTGTCGATTGCTGATAATTCCTCTAGCTCGCTGTTCTTCTTCCGAAGCCACAATGTCGCCCGTTTATTCTCCTCTGATGTTTGGACCGATTCTAAAGAAACAAGATATCGAATTATTAACCCGTTTTCTTAAATATCCAAAGATCTGAAATAGGTAATGGGGGGGGGGGGGGCAAATGCAGTGTTTAGAGAGAGAGAGGGGGGAGAGAGAGAGAAATTGGGTTTAACGTCCACTCGAAACAAACTAGGTCATTTCGGGACTAACACATGGTTCAATTTTATTTCGCGTAGGTGTCTTAAGCAGTGGGAGGAAACCGGAGGACCCGGAGAAAACGCACGAGGTTGGACAGGCAACCCTACTCCTTGCCACGTACAACCGGGGAATCGAAACCACGCCAGTTGACTCAATGACAGACCGTATGACATTTGCCCCCCCCCCCCCCCTGCAGTGTTTGAGTAAGTGTTTGAGACGTAATCAATAGTGTACCTCTTCTAACTTTTGACCTTAAATAAAGTCTTAAGCATAAAGGGTGATATTTACAGCTTCATTATCTTTTAACTGTGGATAAAATAACAAGATCAGAGTCTTCCGGTTATCCTGTTTTGATAATTTCTTGATTTATTGAACCAATGAAATCTCAGATTTTATGGGGTTTTATGTGTATAAATCTTGTGCTATTAATTCCGAAAAATGATATTTGGCGAAAACAAATAACCACATTTTGTGAAAATTAGATAACACTTTATTGTGTGTGCAATTCAAACCGCCAAAACGCCATTAATGAACACTGCCAACCAAATAGACTTTTTCAAAAAAAAAAAAAAAAAAAAAAAAAAAATACATACCATCTCTGTAGTAGTTAATTAGTACTTGAGCAAGTTTTTCCAGCAATTCTTCCCTCTCTTCATTCCGTCGATATATTTGATTAATTTCAGGGTAACTTGGAGCTGTTTCGTGATTTGTTTGATCTAGATGTTGATATCTTTGATGTAGGAATCTACCTGATGCTACCAGGATAAAACAGGACGAGATCAAAAGTGTTATCATAAACTTCATCACTTTTACCATTTATTCATCTGATGATTCATAATCCTTAAAGAAAAAAAAATAAAAGGTTGATTAATTTTTTAAACTCTCGACCTAACCTGAGTATTTATAGTTGGACATTGTTGAAAATTTATAGGAATCCTCCTTTACCCACCTTAAGCAACCAGCCATAATTTCATAAAGATTCAAATCTAATTTTGGATCTTTGCTGTTAAGAAGATTGATTATTAAATGGTATATCTTTTTTTTTAAAAAAAAATATAGTAGCCTTCCTTTTCCACGATGTAATAAATGTATAAACGTCAAATAATAGTTGTGAACTCTCGAGTAATAACACTATTCTATACCCAAAGGGGCAGTATGTGCGCCCATGAGAACTGTTAGTGTTATAGGGACAAATTATATTATACCATTTACCAGTTAATTTTGAATGAAATTGAATCACAACTGTCTGCATTGTCTCCCTTTATCACCCAAATTTAATAGAATCCACAAACAATAATCCCTTTGATGTGCTCATATTGTGTTGCTATACAATTTTTAAACGTGCACACGTAGTTTGGGCATATTAAATTTCGACTGCTCAGAAATGAAATGAAATTGAATTTAACCTCTTACTTATTCTATCCTAACCGGGAATTTGACAACAGGCATTCCATGTAGCGCGCAAACAGGGACATTTTGCCCGGAGAGAGGCACTACGGTCTTTTTTTTGTCTTTTTTTTATTATTATTTCCAACTGCCATGACATATTTAACCTGCTTCCAATGGTATACACCGGACCTTAGGTTGTCGTACCATCTGAACAACTAGACGCTTGCTATGTCTTTCGTACTACACCACAACCAAAGGTTATTTCCGGGGAACTTTGTCGCCCAACACCAGGATCCCATATAACATTATCTACTTTATGTCAATTTTTAAAAGCCAACAACTTAATGATATATTAGTTGGTAATTAGTTTTCCAGCAATATAGACAATAACTATATTAAAATCAAACCTACCTAATTAGAACAAAGTATACTATATTACATTAAGTCTATCAAGTCAGAACATATATAAACGAGTCCCCGCTGAAGACAATAATTGTATTAAAATCAACCTACCTAATTTCAACAAAGTGTACTATATTTCAGTAAGGACTATAACAGAATATCCCGTTCCAATATTACTTTAAGAATGACTCATATATTTACTAGCCATACGTATTTATCAAATAATGATAATATTCGGATTATATATACACAAATTAATTAATTATTAATTCAATTTTTTCTTTAATATTTTTAAAAATCATTATTAAGATTACGAAAAGTAGTGAAACACGACCATGTATCTCAAACTGATCATAAGTACTTCGTCATGATCTGGGAGTCAGAATAGCTTCAAAGATTTTCATAATGACACTAAGTTAATTAATCCTTATTACTAAACGGATAATCAAGTAAACAGGATTAGAAATAAGATTATCGCTGTTAAAGATACCAAAAATATTAAAGATTTGGCATATTATGCGAATTATCTCATTTTTTTTATTTAATGAATGCAATTAGAAATAAAACAAGCCATTCTAAGTTGACTACATCGCTATTAGCGCAGCTCCTTCTTAAAAGTATCAAATTTTATCTTGGTAAAATCTTATTAAATCATATTTAATTGAAAATTAATAAAAACTTAAACCGATGATCTCTACACTTTTTCAGTATAATATAAGCTGTTCAGGGGTGCCGTGACTGCTGATTTTCCATGTGGAACAAGATCCCGTGGGATCTCCCCCCCCCTCTCTCTCTCTCTCTCTCTCTAAACTAGAATCGAAATAACTGTCGGTAGATAATTAACTTAGTCGATACTTAGTCGTAAATTAAAGAGAATAAAGGGATATTAACATTATTGTGTTTATGTTTTGAGAAGGGCATTAGTTTTTATATGTTTAAATACATTACCAACTGCAACCAGATTCCAATTCAAATAGTAGGACACGAATACACCTCGTGACAGTAACACGTGCATGGAAATAATATTTATAATATTTATAATGTATTTCTGTAAATACGTGATGTCAATGGCGTCAGATGTTTAAATAGAATAATGGCCTGCGTAAGTTTTTTAGCCTATAATTTGTTATTATACCATCAATATGGAGACATTTTATAACATAAATAATTATATAATCTTTCATTTGTTTTTTTGATAGAATGTTTTCATTGTCTATAATGTCAAAAATCATGGTATGTAATTAAGTGTGCCCTTGACGTCATATAGAAAATAGTATGAAATGCAAGTGTGGGTGTTGGGGAGGGGGTGGGGTGTCAACTGGCAATCATACTTCTCGCAGTGTTTCGTTTGATTAGACCTAATCCCATTCAAGCACTGCCTTAATGAAAGCAAATTTCTGTTCCAAATTATGACTGGTCAATAGTCCAATTAACAACCAATGCCTAACTGCGTAATAATGTCATTCGGTTTAAACGGAGCTCCACATTGTTTACATAAAGTTACGTCATGACTCATGAAATATTTACGCACGATTAACCAGTGCATAGCAGAATATTGCAGAAAAACTAATTGCGTGCCAAACGAGGCTGTCAACGGTTACAATGTTAACAATACTGTTTGGGGACGAACAATGTACTTACACCGTTTTTAATACCTTAAATCACTGTTCCAAATTTTTAGGAAAAACCCCAGATTAAATGAAGGGCTGTCGTGTTTTTGTACAGGGATATATTTGATTGAACGGAAAGAATAGACACACTCCCCCAAAAGCTCAAGTATCATAAGTCAATCCAGCAATGGCCAGAGAGGGATTTCTCGGGCCATTTCTTCAGGAATATGCCGTCAATCTGATTCACAGAGGTATTGCGAAGAGAAGATACCACCAAACAAATGACCTTTATGATGATATGGAGGTGACCAATTGGGGGTGGAATATGTCAAATGATAAACTCTTGCTTTCACCAATCATGATTGATCAACTTCATGCACCGGACGAATTATTGAGATTAGTTCACTGTAACTGCACTGCACACTCCACCAGTATGAGGTGTGGGTGTCGACGATACGGACACTCCTGCACTAGCGCATGTGGTTCGTGCCAAACTGACAGTTGTGATAATAGCATTAAACCCGATATTGATACAGATGAAGAGGATAATAAGGATGATGGTGCACTAACTGACCTGTGTATAATTTAAATAAGATACTTAATATACTTATACTCCCGTCAGACTGGGTGGCGTTCTTATAACTCCGACGCTACGGCGACGAAAAATGTTCGCAGAACGCGTCAAGATCGCCATAAGTGTGGTGGAAACGCCAGATATCGTGCTGTGATCTCCATGCCCATGGTCGCCAATGATCGCCGAGTCACGGCGTTGGTTTTTTTTGAGCATGTTCAAAACAAACACCAAGGCTCTGCGATCTGAACTGAAAAGCTGTAAGAACACGACTTTGTTCAAGTTTGTAATTTTTGGGGACATTTTCTCGCGTTGTATTTATGTTTGCCGGCGACCTTGTGTATTTTCTGGTCGCCGTACAGTCGCAGCAGTGCAGTAAGGACGCCACCCCGACTCTATATTGCGTTATGATGTCACTTTCTATTTTATTTTTTCGTTTTCTGTCTCGATTATGCGATATAACGCCAGTATGACGTCATAGCAACCATTTGACACCATCATCTGATTCAGTGATATCACTTTTATACTAACTCAAAGCACAATTTTTAGGTCTAAAACACTTCCTTTCTGAGATATTTGACATTTTAAGCCATTTCGCGCCGTCATCCGCCATCTTGGATTGATCATCGATATTGCCCTAGATTCGCAAATCCGATTTTGGAAGACTTTTGGTATTTTGATAAGTAAGTACCATATATACAAAAACCATTGAGTCCAGCTGGCTGCAAATTTATTCAAGGTTATAGTGGGTGTGTTCCATAGATTTACTGGGCTATAGCTCTGTAAAAGATGACTGCTTTCAGCATGTGACGTCACATCACGCGACGTATATTTGAAGCACCTTTATTTTTCTAATGCTTAAAAAAATGTCATCCCTACTGGGCTAATGAAGACGGGCATATGCCATACAGTTTTACCCGGACAGCGGCGCTTTGGCCTACTCTTATATCGAATTCCAACTGCTAAGGGTTCTTTTACATGTAAGCCAATGTGTCCACGGGACCCCGGCTTTTCGTCCTATCCGAACGGCGTATATGTTGTCCCTTGTCAGGAACATTTTCGGTCAACATAGGATCGAACACGGGACCTCCAGGATAGCGAGCCAACGTCTTATTCACCGATCCACGGTGGCTCCGGAAGAATGCATACGAAAGCATTATAATAAAGCTTAATCTTTCCCACATGTGACAATGCCGGAACTCTCTTAATAGAAGAAACGTTCCATTAAGCTAAACACACTCTCGATAATGGTAAAATGTACGTTCTCTAGAATTTTACAGAAAAATTCTTTGGTCCATTCTATTTCCCTGTTTTGCCTTCGAAAGTAAGTTTTGATTAGATACGGATTTGAAGTCATCCTACAGAAAAAAAACCATATACTTCACAAAGTTGGTGCTTTTCATTAAATGACAATACTAATGCCTGAAGAAGAAGACGCTTAGTAACTTCTACCCAGGCCCCCCAAAACAATTACATCGGCTGTGGCGCAATCCGTGTCCGACTTATACTAGTCGAATTTGAATCTGGTTGCAGTTAATATATTTTAAAAAGGTAAAAAAAAATAAGTGTTTTAGTAATTTCCATCTCAAACCATAAACAAAATTATGTTAATATCCCTTTGTTCTCTTTAATTTATAGAAATAGCATCATCACACAGTTAAGGGTGTTAAATTTTAATGTGGTTCGCGTGCAATCTAGCAATATATTATGGCCCCGGCGTAATATTGGTTTCAAATTAGTATACAAGTTTTATTAGATAGGGCATTGATCATGTAAGACAGTTTTATTAGATAGGACATTGATTAGAGGTAACCAGTGTATGTTAATAACAGACAAAGAAGTTCTAGAAACATCGCCTGTACTTTTCT